ATCTTGGCTGGTGACTGCCAATTGAAAGGCTAATAAGTAAAAAAAAAAAATTAAACACACTAGTTTGGGTTCATATAATACCATTGGAGAGCTGGAAATGATTGAATTTTTGCTACTGAAAAAGATGAAGATATCAGGGGTATGGAGTTGGAAAGTACTAGATTTATGTCTCCTATTGTGGGATTTGCCCCTAATTTTCAGTAACCTGTGGGACTTTCTTTGCAAGTTGATCTGTTGCAGTTCTTTCTCAATCTGGAAAAGACTTTTTTTGGTGCCTGCTTGCTCAAAAATGCTTCTTATGTTTTCATAAATGTCAGAGTTCTGGGCTAATGCTCTTGTTTGGATACTGTACTTGGGTTGTGAGTAGTGGAAAATTATTTAACAAAGTGACATCACAACTGCAGGAAAATACACTGATTTCTGTGGCAAGCTACAGTTTGTTTTTTGTTTGTTTTCCTAACACATTTAGAGTAAACAAACCTGTATTAAAAGTGTGTATTCTATTAAGTGTTTGTTTACAGGAAATTCATTTAAGTATATTTAGATCAGTTACAGTAATTGAACAGAGATAGGCCAAGTTGGAATATATTACATTTTTTCTTTTTTCTTTTTTTTCCTGTTGGTAGTAGGAGGAGTAGTAGTAGCAACATACATGGTATTGTGTCTTCATCTCTTACTACTTGTCCAGGAATATAATTTGTACTTTCAACAACTTTGTTCCTCTTAAATAAAATATCAGTAGGTGTATTGACTTTCTATTTAGTAGTAGGTGAAACTTTCAATCTTTAGAAAAAGGAAATGCTTTCCCTGTAAGCTAAGAGGTTTTCACACAAATGATTAGAACATTGTCTTTATTTAAAGATTAGAAGATAGCATGAAAGCATGCTGCAGCTGCAGTTGTTCACTATACTGAAATGCTTTTGTTCTTTTTTAGTATTTAAATATTCATGCTAACTCCTCCCATCCTGTCTACTTTGTGTTTAGATTGGTGAAAGACAAAAAGCTTGGAAATTACTCAGAGAGGACAGCTAGAAAATTTGTCTTACAGAACAAAAAAGTAATACGTGCTGTATGAGCTCTTCTTTGTGGAGGATTATGTGAATGCAAGGTTAGAAAAAGCAGAAGGGTTCTAGCTGCTGAAGTCAAAAAGGTGGCTTATGGAAGGGGTCTTGCCAGGGCAGATCATCTCTTGTCATTATCTGCAATATTTGCTTAGGACTGTAAAGATATTTTAATGCACTGTTGTTACTTGTCAGCATTTTTGATCTCCCGTTTGCTTGCCATGACTCTAACGTCAGCTTTGACACTGAACATCTCAACTGTAGTTTTCAAATTTTTTTAATAAATAAAATTAATATTTTTTTCAAACTGGAAATATTCAAAGTGCTTATTCCATTTTTCTAAGAACACCTGGGCACCACAGCTCTACAGGTTTGCTTTCCAAAGAAAATTATTTTCAGGCTCTCACTGCAGTCCCTGCATTGCAGGTTGCATAAGGCACCTCATGCTCAAGTTAGGACTGATTGCCATTTCAGTCTGTCACTGAGGAAACATTTTATCTATTTAGAAGTAGGATGTAGGGTTTTTAATGTTTTCTAGGTGGTTTTGAAACATTAGGGATCTATGAAAAGCAAAGAATAATTGATGTGAAAAACTTGGAGTAGATCCTTACTTTTCCTTACTTGTAAGGAAACGGTTTAACTAATGGTGGATGCCCTTTTGTGTTAGTGGGTTTCGTTTTTTTGTTTTCAGCTGCAGTTGAATATCTTCCACTCTTTCTTTTCTTTCAGGTAAGGTAGGCGCATCCTCCAATGTTAATATTTCAAAAGCCTTCACTGAAATACAGAAATATTGTTAAATTTTGTTTTAAGATGGAGAATCGAAACAACAGGGATAATAGTCATAAAGTCACATAGTCTCCGAGAGCAGACACCTTCAGCCTCTGAAGCTGCGGGCTGTAATGCCACGTATAGTCTCTTAAGAACCCTTTTTTTGGTGACTTCGTTTTCCCCATGCATAAGTTTTCTCCTCACCATGAACAGCAGCACTGCAGGAGGGAGGCGGTAACAATACACAACCAATAGAAGGATGAGAATAAGGCAAACATCTTCAGTATCTTGCACGTGCCAGTTTATGGTGACGAAAGGACAGTGCACTTAGGAGTCATCCTGACAAGTCAGTCATCCCTTCTCTGTGCTGGTAGTGTGAGTGGAAGTAAAATATTGACTATACCAATAGTTTCTGGAAGGTGAGCAGTACTGTGACCCCCGGTCAGTTGCATCCTGGTTCTTCCGTTCTTATCAAAAGATGCTGGAATCTTTTGGCTCTGATAGTAATACCATTATTTAAAGATGTTGCATTAATGTGCAGTTTTCTCTTAAGTGCTGTCTTCTAAGTGCTCTCTGAGAGCAGGATCTTCTTTTCCAGCAGACTTTTCTTGTCTTGCATCTGGCAGATAGATACGTGATGTTATTTCCTAATGCAGAAGGCGGTATGACTCCATTTAGTTTATTTCCTTTTTGTCTAACAGCATCATTAATTATACTGTGAGGGTTGTCTCTGCTGTGGCTGTGATCAGAGGAAAGGAAAGAACACAGCAGTCAGTCTTTGGGTGCTGTAGGAAGAGGATTGAGGTGTTTGATTTCTTTTCTTTGGTGGTTGCTTAAACATAGAAAACTGTCACAATTTGTGTTGATTCCAAATAGCAATTTCACTTGTTCTAGATATTCCAAACCTGTCCCAAGGAGCTTTTGCTGTGCAGTAATGTAAAGGAGAAGACACTGCAGTACCACTCACTGATACTCTGCTTTGGGAAGAGTTTGTGATAGCAGCTAATCCAGAGATTTTGTAACTCAGCTTGAAGAAAAATCAAGCACCATCTATGAATTCTAAATATTTAATGCTTTAAGATTATTTTCTGTTTAGGTTCTGCTTAGTATTTCCAGTTGCCAACAAAGGTGAGAGTTACCAAAATGTCTGGTGTGGCAAAAAGTTAAAAAATGAAGAACTCTTACTAATACTGATACTGCAAAATTTTGGTCTAATTTCATCTACCAATGTAATACTACAAAAATGCTTTAAAGATACTTGAGCATACTTCCTAGCTAAGAGAGTGATTGATTATACACAGTTTGCCTTTTTAATAATCACCATTGGATGACAGTCTTCATTTTTTTTTTTTATTGTCAGTCCTCAGTTAACTAACTGGAATATTTGTGGTGTGTGTATGTACATAGTGTTCATATAGTCATAAAATCTCTTGAGTTTTGATGGTTTAAGATCTTAGAGTATACATGTAAGACAGATGTGATGTAGGCACATGTATTTATAAGGTTTGATATGAAAAGAATCTTATTGGTATTTGCATGTAAGGAATTTTTTGGAGTGGGTGGGTTTCTGATGAGATGAAGCGAAAAAGCAGGTAAACATATTAAAGTCTGGTATTCATTCAACAGAAGACTGTGATTTCCTAAACTGGAAGTAATTTAATCATGTTTGTATCTGGAGTAGTTACATGAGATCATTTGCCATAATTACTTTAAGTCTAACAAGATCTGTTGCCATATGGATTTTATGTTATGATTCGAATCCTAAAAAGAAAGCAGCTTAACAACTGGATGTTGAAAATAATCAATATATTTCATCATAGAGATTTGAACAGAGGCTGTGTTTCAAATGTGTCTTTAAAAATCACCTGTCAAGCTGAACCTTTGCTTGTGATCCTGTTGCTACAGTCTGTTACATATGTATATGACATAAAGAAACAGCTTTGGCCATCCAAAATTACTGCATTTGTTGTGTGTTGCTGTTGGGACAGAACCATTTAAATATCTTAATATTTATTTTTGTGGTTCCATTTTACTGAGCTAGAAGGAAAAGCTGTTCTATAATTAAGGAGCTATTTGCAAGAAAGTGGGTAGCATTAAAACTGTTATTTTAGGATCATTGCAAAGGAGGTGAATATTTGTGGTTGGTGTCTAGTGCTGTACAAGTGAGTGAGAATAGTCTCTGTCCAAAGAAGCTTCTTGCTAGGGAAATCTGATTGCTCAAGAAAAGCAGAGATTTTGTGTGAATAACTTTTCACATTTGCTGGTTGTCAGGCAGAGACTACAGGGTAAGGGGCTGCTGCTAGGGTGAGTGACAGCCATAGGTCTCTGTGTACAGAAACACATTTGCATCTTCAGTAGCAAGTAATTTTTATCAACAGGGTAACATACTTGTTTTAGCATAGCCAAAGAGAGACCTAAAATTGACTTAAATACTTCAGGCTCACTTAAATGATGTTATACAAAAACATGCTTGTGATATGCTGTGTTAAATAACTGATTTTGACTGTGTATTTATTTGTATATCTTACTGATGTAAAGTATTTGCTGTTAAGGATGTTAGTAGTATTGTACTTACCTGCAGCTCTGCTCTACAAAGCAACAAGATGAAGGGGTACTGCTAAAATTCTGATGTCTGACATCAGCACCAGGATATGCATCTTGGGAACGAGTTGTATATAGCTTTGGCTTTTCTTTGACTTTTTTCCCTGAAAGATAGTCATGTCTTTTGAATCATAATTCATTTACATGAAGAATTTTGGTCTGTTACTGAAATAATTGGAATTATATCAATCTTGAATTTGACTTTGGCAATGAAGCTGTAGAGCCAAATCTTACCATGTATTACATAACAAGTTCCCTTCGATTGTCTAGCTTTCTTTTGAAAGATTGTTTCTGTCCATAGTCATTCATTCGATGACCTTACTTATGAGTTTATAAAGTAGAATTCCAATAAATTAGGTTTTGGGGGATTTTTGTGGTTGGTTGGTGGGTTTTTTGTTTCCTTTTTCTTTTTTTTTCTTCTTTTTTTTTCTTTTCTGAAAATGATCCCAGCTAGGAAAAAATGTCCTGATGTTTCATGTAAATTTACTTTTCTTAATCAGGTTTATTCAGTTTTCTGTGATGAGGTATGTTTGCAAATGCTAAAAGACTGTACATTTTTCTCTGTTCCAGTGCCTGATGACCTCTCCATAGAAGAAAGAGAAGAGCTTTTAAATATTCGTCGCAGGAAAAAAGAACTGATTGATGATATTGAGGTAATTGATTTATCTGTAAAGATCCCTAGAAGACTGCTTCAGTAGATTAAGTTACAGTAAGCTGCATACCTAGGTATGAATTCTAGGTAATGTTTTTAAAAATATATAAATGGCTTAAGCTAAATCTTACTAATAATGAATAGGATTTATGCATCATTTTTGTGCTTTTAAAAATGTCAATGTCTGTATTTATGTAATGCAATATGTGCATATGTACACATTTGATTTGTGTAATCAAGAGCTCATTAAATAGCAGATTTGCATACAGGTTAGGAGTGAGCGAGAAATCTGGGTAAAGAAATCTTATACTGAAATTGGTAATGGCAATTTGGTCTTGATGCTCTGACATGAGCACGCACTAGGAGTTCAGTTCCATGTGTTTAATAGTCATTCAGCTGTGGTAAAATCTTTAAGCTACATATCTAAGGAAGCCATAAGATTCATCACTTTTCTTCAGGTGACTAGAAAATGTCAGAAAATAAACCCTAATTGATCATATTAATATATGAAAGATGATTTTAAAAACTGTTTTAATGTATGTTAACATATTGTCCTTCCTTCTTTTGGCAGAGATTAAAGTTTGAAATTGCTGAGGTTATGACAGAAATTGATAATCTGACTAGTGTAGAAGAAAGGTAAGTAATGCTACCTTATGGACATGATTCAGTAAGACCTTGGAACAGGTCCTCCAGGGATAGCAAATAAATAGCTTTATCATGCTAAACAAACATTGGATCACCTTTATTCAGTCTGTTACAAAGTCTCTAAAGCCTGACTATCCTGTCCAGGTGTGCCATTCGTTTGGATAGAGAATATGTTGGATAGAATGTAATGTTCTAGACTGTCCAATTGATAATGATATAGTTCTCTGAAGCTGCAATTCCTTGAAAGAATTGAAAATAGTAACATGATTTCCCCCCTTATAAAAAGTGAATGTCTTGTTTTTGTAATAGAAAATACAAAGTAGCCGAAATACAAATTAAAGGAAGTGCCAGAAGTTGTTGTTTTTGTAAAAGATTAACTGATAACTGGTTGTTGTTTCTTCTTTTTCTCCATCTGTAGCAAAACTACACAAAGAAATAAGCAAATAGCCATGGGAAGGAAGAAATTCAACATGGACCCTAAGAAGGTAGAACTTTTTTTTTATTTCCCATGTGTCAGGAATCAGGTTACTGCTTGTAAGATCTATGACAAATAGTTTTCATAAGTCACGTTTTCATAAGAAAACATTTCTGATAATATAAGTTCACAGGCCTTATTTGTATATCCTGTAACACACTGAACAGAGGGTTAAATTAGAACCAGTCATCTAGTCATTTACCATTCATGTGTGTTTTTTTCACTTAAGCAAACCTTTTCTAATAACGGAGGTTATTTATCAACAATCAAATATGCCAGATATTGATTGAGCTGGCTTTCAGAAAGATTATTTGTACCTGATAGAGGTGTTCTATGTTGATATGTCAAATATTATTCTAAAAATATTTTGATGTTTGGTTATTAGTGAAGCCATACTTTTTTTTAATGCCTTCCTATTTTTGTTTCTTCCAAAATACCTTTAACATGTTGTTTAATTTGTTGTCATATAGACTTTTATATTTGCATATCTAAATTCTGTTTGTGAAAAAGGCGTGTATGAACATTCATATGTTTGTATACATATATACATATAATATGTGTACCTGTATGACTTGTACAGGCGCCTGCAGGTAGAAACTTGGTTACCAATTTCAAGAAGTCTGCTGTGCATTTAGCCAAGAAGTAAAGTAGTTCACTTCTCTGCAGTGCCTCTACTTTTCTTTAATAATTGTTAATTTTCTTGAAAATTCAGGGACCTGCACATGCTCTTACAGACCTCTCCCAATATACTTAAAAGAGCTGCTTTGACATATTTGACCTTTAGCCTTTACTTTTCATTTTACATCTTCCTTGCTTTGTTTTATCTTCTGTTGTTCATAATTGAGATTCCATTTTGAGTTTATGAAGAGTATTCTTCAAGGTCTTTTTGGAAATTGTTTAGCATTTGTTTTTCTGTGTTCTTGACATGTTTTCTTTCCAATTGTATTGAATTCAGTTACATTTTGGTGGCTTTTCTGTAATGTTCCAAGTACAGTGATGGCTGTTATTCTTTAGGTTGTTTTCAGTTTACCAGAAACACTCAAGTACTTTGAGATATAGAACCCTTTTTAAGCTACTGACCTTGTCTTCTATTTTTATTTTTATTTTCCATTTTGTTGACTGTCTGACTTCTGTTCTGTTGAAGGCAGAATACCCCCAAATATCCCGAGAGTTTGCTGTTGTCCTCTAGCTCTTTCATGTCGTAGAAGTTTGTGGCAAAGTTACAGGATGATGTCAGATACTTTCATTCCAATGTTAACTATTTTTTGTTACTGTTCTTGTTGGGTGAAATTATTTCTATAAATAGATGCTGTGGCCACGTTGCTACTGTAACATAATTTAAATGTGGTAAGCAGACTTACAGTAGTAATTTCTTAATAATGTCTATGAATCAGTGGTGGCCTGCAGTAGCTGGCTGCTCTAAAGCTACATCATCTTGTTGTTTGCAGCTGCTACTTTAAATTGCAGGCAGCTAAAATATATGTCCTTCTAATGTTGAGAGAACTAACTTGGGGTCATTGCAAAAGGGATGTTTTTCATTCATAAATGGGAGAGAAGATGGTCTCCTGAGTTAGGAATGTGAAAGAACTGGGGTAATAATACATATGCGCAACCCCCAAGTTTTCTTCTTTAAAACCAAATAGCAGAGGTCTAATGTCTTCATATCAGCAGAAACACAGTGAGGTAATTTTCTTTTACCATTTATATTTGAAGACCGTTACATATTCTAGTGTGTAACCTATATGCAGAGCAATTCTCTCTGCCCCCACCCAGAAAATCCTCATTCAAAATAGCTGTGTTTAACACAGTTACGTGATGTAATACAACATACCTTGCTGTTTGGATTTGGTTAGCTAGTGTGGGAAGGGCTATAATGGTAAAGTTTGTAAGACATTTCAGCAGTCCCTGTGCAGAGAACATAAAGCTGTGCTTGAAATTCTTGGCACTGGAAGTCAGTACTGCCTGTGTTAGGCCCAGAAAATGAATTCTCTGTGACAAAGGCAGGGTTTAAATAACGGCAAAATTTGTAATTAAGTTACTGTAAAAGCTTAAATCAAAGCAGATTCCATTGCACTGATTTAAAAAAACCCTGCGCAACATTTGTAGTGAATACTGAATATTTCTGTAGCCATGAATTTTGTGTGGGGAGGTCAAACTAGTACAGCTGTCCTCCATCTCCTATCAGTCTACAGAAGGAAAATTTGCATCAAGACAAAAGATAGCGTAGGAGTTGATGGGGATTTGGCTGACCTATTTTACCATTTATTCCAGACGCTGGAGTTGTTGTCGCAGACAAATTCCCTTTCCTGTCTATTTGACTTCTGGTTCTTTAACATCTTAAGAATAAAAAAACCCAAACAAAACAAACAAAAAAAAAACAAAAACAGGAAAAAAGAAAATCCAGAAAAAGGAAAATTAAATTGATTTTTGTAGCACGTTATAGTATCTGCTTCTTTGCACAGAAATTTGTTTTCCATGCTTCTAGTCATGTCCATTATCTTTTTCAGTAACTTGTACAACTTCTAAAAAACTATCCTGGTCAGTCTGTTTACACGAAGTGTGAATAATATGGCCCAGGTGTTGAACAAGGGTATCTGCAACTGCTGTTTCTGATGTTTGTTAGAAGGAACGTTCTCTGTTGGTTGACAGAGCTGAGAAAGCTTTTTGAATAACTTGGTACGGGAAAAAACCATTATGTTTCATAGTCAAATGAATTTTTTGTACAAATAGTTATCAAATAAGCTTTGAAGGGATCATTTCTGATGAAAGCTCAGTTATTTCTGCTTCAAGATAAAACAGATGCATTTTTTGCAACGAAATCATGTCTGTTCTGAAATGACTTATTAAAAATATTAAGTTGTCAGAGTCAGAATACCAGCCTGTCATTGAAATTAAGTTTTCAGATGATGATAAAATTTTTTCAAGAGAATTACATTCCAGAATTTTTAAAAAGGTTCAAGCCCTTTAATATCACAGTTCATTTTCTTTGTTAAATTAGGTCAGAACATTGACTTTTTTTGTCAGGCAGGTAATGATTTCATTATAAAAAAACAGAATCAACCAAACAGAGGGATAATTACTTTTTTGAATGTTACTGCAGGGCCTTCTATGCTATATAAAAAATAATGGAAGTTTTCTCAGTTGTAATGAAATAAAAAAGAAATATATTCCATTTGCAGGAATTGAAAAACTTCTAATATTTCTGAAATTGTGGAATATTCTAGTAGGAAAGATTTGGAATAATTTATTAAGCTCTTCTGTACATATTTGGAATCCAAGACATTAAGGTTACTTACCGCTGCCATTCCTACTTTTCACTAGCATGCTGTTAACAGTTTTATGAAATCAGCAGGAATAACAACATCTTTGTTGGGGTGTGTGGTGGGGAAAAAAAGAGCACTATCTCTTCATGACCTGCTGAGTGTTGGAATAACATCCCTTCTATCCTTTATGTAATCTTTATATAACTCTTAGTCTCCTTTCTTTACCGCTTTGCAGAAAGTTCTATGGGCATCCCTAGAGTGTGCCAGTTATAGGGCCAGTAATTTATGGAGGCATAGGAGTCCAGGGGCTTGATCAAGTACCCACTGAGGGACAGGGTAAGACTTTCCTGGCTTTGATAGAAGCTCTGTGGTAGAAGCTTGACTGGTTCATAAAAAGCCCTTTGTGAATAGTCTAGCTCAAGTCCTTTGTGAATAGTTTAGTTCCAGCACAACCAGAAGTCACTGGTAATCCCAGTGTCAGCATAAACTCTTTTAAACCAGTTTCAGTACCTTCAGCCGTGACTTCTACTGCAAGTAGTGGCTTGATGTATTGGGTTGCAGTTTGTAGGTTGTAACAGATGCTTTATTTTGTGTCATGGTGGTAATTAAGTTATTCCTACATACCTCTTCATTATATGATTTTACAGATTATGTCTCTGCAGACATTTATGCAGTATTGTGAACAGGCTAACTCACCCATTAACTCCAAAGAGCAACATGGAATCATTATTCAATTAATATTTGCTATTTCCATTGTTGAGGGATTCAAACTGCCACCCTGTACTTCTAGCCTTAAAAATGTGTTCTCATTTTAATCTTTAAACCAGTACTAAATATTGCTTATCTAACTGAAAAACATTTGTTTACCATTTCATAAAAAAAAAATTTAAAAATCTGTAGGCTAATGTAATACTTAATGTACTATCTATATGTCTGTGTCAGTATATTAATACCAAATATTATGAGTGGTATTTACATAAATGCTTGTGGAAGAAAACATAACATTCCTTTTCCTCTGGAATTGCTCTTCCTAGGGAATACAGTTTCTGATAGAAAATGACCTCCTGCAGAACACTGCAGAAGACATTGCACAGTTCCTTTATAAAGGAGAAGGATTAAATAAAACGGTAATTGGAGATTACCTCGGTGAAAGGTAAAATAAAGATACTGAAACTTTGTTCTTGAGTTTACAAAGCATGCTTAAGGGTTTTGGTAGTTACCTTCCCCTTCACAGGCTGCGTGAGAGAGCTACTCTACTACTCTGAGATCTATAAAAGCTACAGCGGGAAGTAAAACCACTATGGTATTGTGATAGGGTTTTTTTCTGTTAAGTGGTTGTTCTTTTTAAATGGATACATTGTGGAATGATATTTAATTCATTGTAACTTACTATTTTGAGAAAATACCCTTAAATTTGGCTATAGTGGAGAATTTAATACCATAAACTTTTGGAATGTCTGAGAGTTGTATTGCAACAGTTCTGGTAACTCTTGGTACTGTGCCCAGACAAGGAGTGATTACAATCACTAATAATTGGATAGTAAAGAAATTACTTATTAAAATGCGTAGTTCCTGGGACAATAGTTATAAGCAGGTTTTAGTGTTGTCTTCTTCCCTGCACACAGAGTTCCCATTAGTAAGTAGGCGTCTCAAAGGGCAGCTGCACCGCATCTTTATCAGTCCTAGTACAATAAACGTGCAACATGCATATTTATGCATACTGTTGCAAAACACAATCAAAATGCAAATTACTTCCATTGCTGTGCAACCCAGGAATTGATTTCGAAAAAGGCAGCAGAAAGAGACAGAAGTGAAGAGTGGGTTGGAGTATGTGTATCTACGTGCTTGCACATGTTCTGGTTCAGATGCCAGTTATGGAGGTTTAAAAGTTGACTCATTTAGGATATACTCCGGTAGTGATATGTTCTGGCAGATCCCTTTTGAGGCACCCGCAATATGTTTACAGCATCAGCGGCTTAGTTTGTGCTCAGCAATTTCCTCCTGACTTTAATAGGTTTAATGGAAGTTTTCATGGTAATATGTATGTTTTGAAAATAGATCTTCGCTATGAAGTTTCTGTACAGTGTATGTAGACATTTCAACAATTTTTATACAACAGCATTATGTTGTTTCTCTTCAATATTTGGGCAATCAGTATTATAAAATCACTTATACGTTAATGTCCATAATTGCAAAACTGTAACAAAGCTTGTATAAGGCAGTCTGTGTTCGTTTTTGAGAGCTGCGTTCTACCGTGGTATTGCCTTCTGAAATAGTTCTAGTTTTTCTAGCCCTATTGCCAGAACCCTTGTACTCATGCAGAAAGGTCTTACCAATATGTCCAGTTGTCAGTAATATTCATGTGACTATTTATGTGTTCATATTCAAAATTAAAAAATTTATTGCTCCTTCTTTTGCATCCCTGGCAGGGATGCTGCTGGGCAGCACTGTGGTCTAATCTGAAAAAACTGCAACGTTTCTTAATATTGAGTATGTATAGAGATAAATATGCAGTTCAATTATATCTTCTGAATTTTTCAAGACTTAAATACAGACAAACATAGTGGTCATACTGAATAGCAAAGTTGATCAGGAAATTTTGTATAAATCTATCAACTGGATAATAAAATCTTAGGAAAACTGAAAAAAATTAACATACTGCTCCTATTTTGCCACAAGGCTGAAACAACCTATCCATTTTAAGGAGCAGTTGAAGTAAAAAAGAAATTTAAAATTATTTTTTGTTTTAAAAGGAGCTTTTGTTTAAAGTTTCCAGTCAGTCTACTTTAATTGTTTTTTGCATGTTTCTTCATTTCTGTGAAGGGTGTAATTATTAATATGGTAATGGGAAAGCAAATGGTATTTCTGTCTTTTTTTTTTTTTTTTTCTTCACTTAATATGAATTAGTAGTGGGAGGTGGAGGTGAAGAGATGACAATCTGATTTTCAGGAATGTGTATGGACACTTCAAGGTAGTCAGGTCTGGAATGGGGAATTAGTTCATCGTACTCCTCTGAACTGCAACATCAATTTCCTAGAATCCTAATAATTTTTGTTCGTGTTCCTCTGAAAACAATGTATTAGGCCTTTAGGTCCTGGGGTAAAATAAATACCCTGGGATAAAATAAAATGTGATAATTGAGGTGGTCTTAAGCTGCTAGTTTTGCTTTTTGAATACCTCAGAAACAGGCTATTATGTGATTTGTGCTATGCAAATGACAGTGCATATTATAGATGAGTTTTTGTTATGTACTGTCTTTTATCAAGGCATTTGGAGTCTGAGGACTCTGGCACTCCCTCTCAGGGGCCCATCATGAATTACTTCTGCATTCTAGCTAACTATAGCTGAAGACAAGACCAGGATAGTCAACAGAATGAGATATTTGTATAACATTCTGCCACGAAGAGATAAGTTTTAAATTATTGACTTTTATAGTGTTACAGCACTCAGCAAACTGAAAAAAGTGAATGGTAAATGGAACAAGATAATACCTAAAAATGTACAGTAAATAAGGGATGAATTACATCCTGTGAAAGATATAAGATTTCTTTATATGTGGCTAAGTCTTCATTTATTTTTTTAAGTGGCTTCCTAGACTTTTTGTGATCTTTGGGTTGGGTCTTTGGAGCTGTACCCAGCACAAGTATCACTATTAATCCAGTCTGCATTAAAACCTAGAGGAGCAAAAGTTAGAGTATAAGGCTAATATTTATTCTAAATTACTGCAGCTTTACGTACATATAAGCAAAATCAATATTTGGCTTAGAGTAACAAAGTACCTCTATTGACTGCTCTCTTTTATTATACTATTATGCCACTTCACTGCACTGTAAAGTAGTCACGCAGTTGAATTGTGCATTACTAGATTTCATGAGAATTGCTTCATTTTGCCTGACAGAGCCCATGTGTTTTTCTATAAACAGTATAGGGACATTCTAATGAATGAATGGTTAGTTTTAAGGTATTCACTTGTGAGTGTTACAGGTTAGTCTGACTATGCAGTTAATCAGTAATGCAACAGATAATTCTTGGTAGGTGCACACCTTTTGGTTTTCGGGTGGAGGCTGATATGCAACATTCTGTCTTGGTGATGTATTTAAAGCACACCCTGAGGATTATAAACCTTTACGCTTCTGGCATATGAACTCAGTGATGGTGTAGACTAAATTCTGTCTGCATCCAAATAGTTTTGTGCTCATTAATGTTTAAATGTTACTTTTACATTTAAACACCTTTGTATCAAACAAAGAGTAATTTGGCTCCTGTTTACATAGCAATATAAAAGATAGGTGAGAGGAAGCCTGTTCAAAACCTATTCTGATTTTGGTAAACTCTTACTGTAACGATTTTTGAGAATGGAGTAAGAATATACTATGTACTAAGTAGCTCTTTTAAAAAACTGTTCTTTTTCTTAGGTACAACCAGTTGAAGCATTTCTATTCCTCATCTTTGTTCATAAATTAATATACTGCTTTAATATTTTTCTGTTCTTAGAGGAAAAAAAGGGATAATTTGTTTTTCATGTGTTGTATGGCTAAAGAAATTAATCTTACGTTAGCCATTGTTTTAAGAGTTCATGACACAATTTCTTCAAAAGACTTTTTACTGGATAGGTTTATTGGGTATCATCCCATATCAAGGCAGGTACAGTAATAAAAAACATGAAGCAAAGAAGACCAGGCCATTTTCAGGTGATTTAAATAAGCAGTGCTAAAATCGGTTCAAGTGTACTGGCTCTTGCTAACCTACCTTTTTTAAGGCCAGCAAAAATGGGCAAAATACTAGTGTTAAATATTAAAATACCTCTCAAATAATTGTGTAAACTATTTCTGATTACTTGATTTGATCAGTATGATCATTTATTGCCTTACTTATTCTTGAAAGCAAAGAGATCACTAACAAGCCTTTAAAGTTCAGAATTGTAATTGTCTATTTCCATTTTTGTCTTTCATAGAGATGAATTTAATATTAAAGTTCTTCAGGCTTTTGTTGAACTCCATGAGTTCGCTGATCTCAATCTTGTACAAGCCTTAAGGTGAGTAAATTCCTTTTTTTTTTTTTTTTTTTTTTTTTTTTTGACCTGAGCTTCCTTTATCAAATAGCACGTTTGTATGAGTCACTGCGTTGATTTATTCGTCAGAAAGCTGTTCTACAGCTCGGCACAATTATACGCATTACTGTGCAAGTTAGCAGACAGCTCTGTTTTAACCCTTCCAGTTGCTTGTCTGTGTGCTGCCTTTGAAGGTGAAAACTTTTAATTATTTCAGACAAATACAAACAACTAAAACATAGCTGTAACTCTTTGGTGTGTCTGCCATATGTGGACCTATGAAGATCTGTTTTATATCTTAGCACAGAGATTGGTAAAAAACCAAACCAACCCCTAACCCAAGCAAATAAATCATTTTCTTTGCTGCTGTCTTCTTTCTCCTTTCCTTCCACCTCAACTTGTTCCTCTGGAATCCTGCTGATCATAATCAGTGATTATGTTCAATTACAAAGAGGTAAACTTTGAATCAAGTAATTTCCTCCTTCTTTCCTCAGACTTTCCTGCTTGTCGTGTAAAAGAAAGTGTAACATCTTAGTATAAGTTTTTGCCTTGCTGAGTGAACAAGTTCAGTTGATCTCTCTGGGATGCCAGCATACAGTGACCTTGTGAAGTCCTTCTCGTCTTGGTGGAAATCCGTAATAGATCTAGCAAATTAAGTTGATTTAGAGAGTTCTGCCAGTTTTGTTGCCACAAGTGGCTTCCTCCTGACACCAGATAAACTGAAAAGTCTGTGTGATCTTTGTCTCTGGTGCAGTGCCTTGTGATATGGAGTCAGAACAGCTTTGCTATGGTTGAGTGATGTGGTGATGATAACTTGAGCTGCCTGAGGCTTGAGCTAAGGAGGCCTTTTCTCTGGCTGCTGAAGCTTGTCTGGGAGGCTTCATATTCCTATCTCTTTTACCCAATTTAACGTTAGGTTTGACTTTATTCTTCCTTAGCAGCTGCTACTATTAAATGTTTGTATTTTGGTAGCTTACAAAATTCGTGATCTGGGTTGGAACCTTGCATGAGGTGAGTAAAAGACAGTACATAGAGCTGGCAAACTAAAGATGGCCTGTGATACTTTAATATAATGTCCTAAAATGAAAACTGATGAAGATAGGAATAAATGGTTATTATTTTGGCACCCAGCTTACAGGGAATATTGAGAACTTTTTTTGCATGGCAGAGCATGTAACTTTGCTGGTTTAGATCCTGTTTTTAATTTAGATAATTCTTTTGCTAAGAAAGAAAAAAAGAAATTATTAAATTCATTGGACCTTTTTAGCGCCATGGTGTGCCAAAAGTAAGTTTATGAAGACTTCTGTCCTGTATGCATTCCAGTGTACCTATGTGTAGAAATAGTGAGTTCTGAATGTAAAAACTCTATTTCAGTTCATGCTGCTAAACAGGAGCACAGCTTTCCTGCGTCTACTACAAAATTACTGAGGTTGTATCATGAGTCTTTATTTTTAAGATCTGGGTCTGATTCTTGTAGGGTGAACTTAGACTAGACAGGCAGCACCTCTCTAAGCACTGGGGTTTTTCTTGTTGTTGATGCTATTTTTTAAATGTTTGAGGAGTTCAAGTAAAGATGTTAAGTGTTTTTCTATTCCTTGCTTCTCTCCCTTACCAGAAATATTTTATGTAATGCATCTTTTTACATTGTAAGTAACATCTAGCTGAGTGTTTATTGCTTTTAGTAGCCAGGAAACTCAGGGAGGATTGAACTGGTTGTTTCCCCATAGCATTCTCATGGCAAAAATGGGATGCATACAGAAAATTGTTTACTAGTCTGGAAAAAAGAGAGACTCTCAGAATATGAACTGCCATATTATCTTGCCTGATAGCATGCAGTGTTGCTGGCTGAATTACTGGGCTAGCCATCTGTGCATGTTGCTTTATAATAGCTCCTGACTTGTGTGTTGAGAGATTGAGAACATATTTCTAGGACATTTTATATAGACATTGCTGGTTGGGTTTTTCGTTTGTTTTGGTTTTTGTTTTTGTTTTGTTTCTGATTATTAGTAATACATGCTTAATATATAAGTATTGGAATGAGTCTAACAACTCTTCTTCCCTTCTGTAGGCAGTTTCTGTGGAGCTTCAGACTCCCAGGAGAGGCTCAAAAAATTGATCGTATGATGGAAGCTTTTGCTTCACGCTATTGCCTTTGTAACCCAGGAGTCTTCCAGTCTACAGGTTAGTCACAGGAAACAACAGGAGTTCTTAAGTATGTGTGTGTATATGTGTGTGTGTGGTTGTTGGGTTTTGGGGTTTTTTTTTTTGTTTTTTGGTTTTTTTTTGTGGATCATATATGTTCTTCTACATCTGATGCAAGGAGACAATGGCCAGTTTGAAAGTTCAGGATAAAATAATATGTGAAATGAGAAGTTTCTGAGAACTGAGAAAATGCAACTGTCTAATCCTACACCTTGTTTCCAGGAGGTGCAACCTTATGGTCAGAATGCATTTCCATTTATAAAACTTCAGCATTAATATATATCTAAGCCAATTACAGTATAAAACACACATTTAGAAATGTCACCAAAGATTTTGGCTAGGAATTGGAAAAGTAAGATTCTCAGGGGCTTAAAGGCAGAAGAGACCAATAGGTTGGGTAGTGTTATCTGTCAGTCATAAGGACTTTACATCTCAGTATCTCTCTATCAAGTCCACCTGTATATGGCTATAGTATATTGTCTAGAAAGTCATCCTTTTTTGTTATGAAGACTGTATCCTTTCTCTTTAGCAGTCTGCTCAGCAATAATTTATCTCAGTTAGAAATGCACCTCAGTTTTCTGTTGAATTACTTGGTTTAGAATTACTCAAGTCATAAAAGCTAATAAAACTTTGTGATACTGCACAGAATGCCCTAGCATTCTGACATTGTTTGTCTGTTTAGTTATAAACACACATAGCTTGCTGTTGATCCCTTAGTTTGAGGAACAAATAGGCTAGGAAAAGGTTAATGTAAAGCAGGTCTTCAACAGCTAGAGAGGAAGATAATACTTACTGACAACAAAATGCTGAAGATGCAAACACATTTTTCCTCTGTGTAGCAGAGAGGTTTCCATCCTGCTTTTTCTTACATAGGATCTTGTACTTGAATTCTGGGAGAATTTACTGTAATCATAACCATGTCAAGAGGCATGATAAGATATTCTTTGTCATCTTTTGATATTATTCGGGAGTACTAGCCACCTCATGTGTGCCAAGAAATTGAGTCAATGTCATTTTCATTCTGTTTAAATGCAGTTCAAATATTATTTTGAAGAGACTGGTTTTTCTCTTTGGAGAAAGCTTTAGCAGTACTTTGAGTAGGAGTCTGATTGACCAAATTTGTTATAGGATCTACCAATATGATCTAGGCAAAATCTGTGTGCAGAGAACTTTTTGCCCAACAACACTTCAGTGTTTCAAGTGAAATGTTAATTTAGGGTGATAGCAATGATTTCGAAGAGTTTGAAAAAATTTTTTGATTCTCTTGTACTGTTTTTACTCATACTGGCTTTTAATTTGAATTGTTACATATTTTTTCTTCTTAGGCTTACTTCAACAGTTTAAAGAAAGATTTGAGACTTTGGTTCCCATGTATAGTGTTGAGGATTTTTTGACTACCTGCTGCTTTATCAGTCTGAATGAGCTATATATTCATTTTACAGGTTTGTGCCACAGCACACAGGAAGATGAATAATTTTTCAAATCTTATTTCAGATACATGCTATGTGCTTTCATTTGCGATCATTATGTTAAATACCAGTCTGCACAACCACAATGTAAGAGATAAACCAACAGTAGAGAGGTTTATTTCTATGAATCGTGGAATTAATGAAGGTGGAGACCTTCCAGAAGAATTACTACGGGTAAGTTAGACTGGGTAAGACAAGGCATTGCTTTGTGTTTTTAATAGGAAACTTAGAACTGTGTACAACAGTTCTCGGGCAAATTTTTCAAGGGAAAGTAATAAGAACAATTTCTACCATGCATAACCATACAGGTAGCGGAAAGAAGCATTTTCTGATACTCACAGCTGCTTTGAGCTAGTTCTCCCTATATTCAATCTTTCGTTGAGGAGAGGAGATTCCAGAGAATACACTCTGTATATCTTTCAGTAATTTGCTGATGGCAAAATTCTTGTGGAATTGCCTTCTTATGAAAAAAAGTGGTATTTCTGGATAAATCAGAGAAAGATGGAAAAAATAGTAAAAAATGTTGTTTCATTATTCCCTCTCATTTCTTTCCATGTGTCTTGTGGAACCTCCTCCTGTCCCTTGAGATATCAGTAAAAATACTTATTTCTCTAAGACAGTGTGATAGTCTAAAACCATTTTCTGAAAACCCAGATTAATTTGGCAAAACTGGTACTAAAGGAGCCCTTAAGCTGAAACCTTTTGAAATACTGAATGCTGAAGTTAAAGAAAAAATGTCTTTGCTAGGAGTGCTTTTAAAATCTGTAAAAAGAGAGACACTTGTTTATAGATGAAGTAGTTTAAAATCAAACTTAATCCAAGTAGTAAACAACGATTGAGAAGGAATGGTCCAGGATTTTATGGACAGTATTTCGTATGCTTTGTATACAAATAGTCTGAGAAGCAGTAAGATATCCTCGTTGCATTCTCTGTTAGACATTTATTAACGAGGTTTTTTTCCTTTTTTTTTATTCTTCTAGAATTTATATGAAAGTATTAAGAATGAGCCGTTTAAAATTCCAGAGGATGATGGAAATGATCTAACGCATACATTTTTTAATCCAGATAGAGAAGGTTGGCTGCTGAAATTAGGTTAGTTATAAGGGCAGTTTTGCTGCTATATGTTTATTCGTTGTTAGCATGTTTGCTGCTTCTGTGTCTATCTGCTTTCTTGTGAAGGTAATAGGATTAACTTTGTAATTTGTATTTAAAAATGTATGAACCAAAATAAGTAACTCCTTTACATCTGAAGGTTGTTACTTCTTATTTTACATATCCAAATTAGCAATTTTGTTTCAAACTTTGGAGTTTTATTTCTGATACATGAGAAATAAAAACTCAGCAACAAAAAGGAAACACCGTATCGTATTTACCACATGCTGTGACTGATAAATAACAACTGAATCTCCATAAGGTCATTTCAGAATACTGTGTGATATTTCAACACAGTTTTCTGTGTACAAAAAAGAAGGATTCCTCTTCAAATAGTTATTTTTGTATGTCTTTATTTTTCCATATTATTTGTGAGTTTCTCTTGGTTTGGTTTTGGCTATGATTTTTTAATGAGTGGTTTAAATGTGCCTTCTTGTTTTCCTTATGGCCTATGACCTATCACCTTTCTGTTCTGTGACTGGCTGTCTCTGCTTATTCTGCATTAGGAGGTACGTATCTGATTGCTTTCCAGTCCCCTCTTCTTCAGTTGCTCATTGTTTTATTTTCTTCCTCCTTCCTCCTGTTTTTTTTCTTTTTTCTTTTTTTTTTTTTTAAATCAGATTTATTCTAGCATTTTGCTTTTTCACTTAGTGTCACTAACAGTATCATCAGTGGTACTCTGAAAGACTGGCATGTCAGTGTCTAGCTCACATGCGAGTGTGTTCTGCAAAAGAAGAAAGCGTTTACATGTAAAGCAGAAAAATAAAGATGACTGTTCAGCATACTTTTCTTGTTCACTGAAGAACATAACAAGGGAGGAATAATTTCTACTGAGAGAAAATGACGTCTTACTCCTGTAATGAAGTTCCAGAGTGATTTTGTTACTTGTACATCAATTATGTTAGATTATTGAAAGATTGATTACATTTGAACTACACATTTATAAAAGCTGTTCTTTTTCCTGCTTATTTTCCTTTTTAAATAACATATTTAGCTGACTTAACATAATCTTAAATGAGCACCAAATTTAGGGTTGTGGAAACCTCTGGTAATTTGCAGTCTTCTAGCACTGCAAGATGGCCTCATTTACAGACTCTTTTAAAGTTGATGGGATTCAGTTTTTCACTTGGGCTTAGGGATTTCTTTTCCTATATAAAAGAGACTGAAATTTTATTTTAACATTTGTTTTTCGATGAAATAAACCTCTTTTTTATAAAACACCAGTGCACACTCCAATAGAGCCAGTTGTTGGTCACTTTAATGTATAACTGCTTGTTAAAGTAGAAGGAACTTTTCACTTGGAGAACGGTGACAAAAGTGTGAGAAGAGATGTGTGCTGGGGGGTGCACATGGTGGTGAGTATGGTGAAAGTAGAGCTTGGTTAGAGCCATGGGCCTGCTCTACTGATTGCACCTGGAAATTAGCGGTCATGCTAGTGCTGGAAGGAAATAGATGTGAAAAGTAAGCATTTGGAATTCATTCACATGCTCTCCGACGTCTTATTCTGACCTCTGTGCTACAGATGCTATAGAGCTTTCTGTCTTTCTAACTACCAAAAAGCAAAGCTCTTGCTTTTTGACATGTGTTGGCTCAGGTGGCACAATTTCAAAGATGACTTTGCAGCTTTTCTCCATTTGTAGCATGAGGCGATAGCTATCTCAACAGAAAAGGCTTTCAAGATGATGTAGATAAAATGTGCTTTCTGGAGAAGAGGTTGGGTATAAGCCCGTGCTGTGCATATTTCTCTTTCTGTTGCCAGTACTCTCTCATATACACAAACCAAGTGCAAGCAAGAGTGTGAGTGTGTGTAGAGGAGTGACAACATCCCTTGTGGAAGAAACTGTCAATAAAAGACACATAAGAGATCAAATAAAAAAAAATAGAGGAACAAAGAAATGAAAGAAAAAAGGTGACAAAGTCAGTGAGAGCTGCCAGGTGCTTCTGCACAATCCATCTCTGGCTCTGGTGCAAGGTCAATAAAACCAATTTTTCGTTATGTACGATGTAGATGAGAGACAGTGTACAGAAAACCCAATAGTAAAAGCATGTGTGAAACGGAAGGGTGTTGCACATAACACTCCCACGGCATGGGGGTTATTTGAATAAAGAAATGAAACATGTCCAGAAGCCTCCAGTGAATCAGCCTGTAAATGCATGAAGCTATGCTTCGGGAAAGACTGCATTTTCTTCAGCAGACACGGACTAGGTACAGACAAATCCATTTTGCTAGTTTAGATGCATTGACCAGAAATAAGCCTGGCAATCTTTTTTTTTTTTTTTTTTTTTAATTTTCTTTCTCTTCTTTCTTTCTTTCCTCTCCCTTGAGTTTCTTATTTGCTAGGAGGCTTAAACTGTATGTTGAGAGTGCTGTCTCAATCCACATTGTTTGCATTTTTACAGTCCTTTCTGCTGGGAAACACTTATTGTGAAATGGGTATGGTTTCCTTCAGTTCTGGAAGATGCTGATATTAAAAGTTTCAGTATTGTTGAAATGCTAAGGAGGCTCTATTCCTGCATGAGGGTTTAAGTGCTCAGTTGTGATAATATTTAAAAGTTGAAATAGGAAGTTTTATATAAAACTATGACTAAGACAACTCACAAACCCTGAGTATATCAAGACAATATTTTGTATTTGGTATTTCTTTTAGTCAGCTCTTCCCATTTATCTGCTTGTGCCCCTCTTTTTAGTATTCCAGCTCACCGTATTGATTATCCTCTAGGCAGGAGATGGATATCATGAAACTTTCATACATTGTAAAATTCATTTGTGCTAAAGACTACCCTAGCTCTCTAGCCTGGAATTGGGTTTTAGAAAGCTGAGAGGGTGCAAAATGCTTTTGGAGACTTTGCTATTCTGAATTGTTCAGAGGTGACTTTGTGTAAGTCCGAGTGCCAAACCTGGCAGCCAGACAGAAATTCTGGGTTTATCTATCTAGACTCAGCTGGTGCCTTTATATAGACATCTTTATCTTGGTAAACCTAAATTATCATTCAGTTCTACATTGTTTGAAGCATGGTGTAATGAAAATGAATGCCACGAGTAAAAACTGAAAGCTGCTGAGTGCTAATGAGTCCTCCCTTAAAGCAGCTTGAGACATTATGAGCTTTTAGATTTTTCTGTGTCATAATTATTAGTGGTGTCGGTACCATGAAATTTTCTGCCATCCACTCTAAGGTATTTTGAAATGGTTGTCTGTGCTCTCTGTCCTAATGCCCAAGTTACAATCATTTTGCACAGGGAGGAGTTTCCTTGCCTAAAACAGCTTTTTCTGGCAAATAGCTTGGTTTGCGTAATATTTTCTTCTAGTTAGAGGGAAACTGTGACATTATTCCACCAAACTGGAGAGGAAATTATTTGAGCCAGACACATGATCGTGTTAATTTTTTTCTGCTAGTCAGGCAGTTACTGAGAGCTTGGAGATTGTCCAGAAGCTTTGTGTCCGGGCCCGTCCTGCCAGCGGTGCTTATTCCAGCGCATCTGTCCTTGAGAGGATGTTGTTTCTCTTCTCTAATCTGGGGTGACAGAATAGTGGTGGTTGATCAGGAAACTGGCACCTTCCGGTACCTGCTTGGCTCTTGTGGTAACTGATGCTCTTCTAGGTTGAGGCAGTTAATGTTGCGGTCAAGGGAAGCTTCTTTTTCAAAGAAACCTGAACTTTGATTCAGTCATCTGTGTAACTGTACAGTTCCTGAGTCTGTTCTGCCTAGTGGTATCTAAATGAACTGAGAAGAAAAAAAAAAAAAAATTCTTGACCTGTGCATCTCTCTTTCCCCTCTAAAACTTTATATAAATGTGCTGAAGATTTGGGTAGAATTTTCTAACTTGAGATATGTTGCTGCCTTTAGTCTTAAGGCCTTTTTTAATTTTGAAATTGGTGTATCCTAAGTCACTGCCAGCTGTTTTTCCCTTGAGTATAGGTGGTTTCTTTTACCTTGTTCTCTAGTTTGTACTTTGCCCAGAGTTGAAAAAATAATCCTATGTTGGGTTACATAGGTGAAGAGGGTTTTTATTCCTCTTTCTGTACATTTTGCCTTGTTGTGGCCTTTCCTTGTAGCTTCTTTAGATTTTCACCTACAAGATACCATGCTGCTTTATTTTGTTGAGATGTCTTTGCATTTTAGTTCATCAGCTAGGTCTTTCAGAAGTACGTGACATATCTCTCCATTTCTGTAAATGTTTATGGATTCATACTCTGATTTTCTTGATCCTCTTCTGCTAACTTAATTCCTTCGAGCACTAATCTTTAAAAGGCTAGGAGCTGGAATAAGATATGAAGTATGGTACTAAAGCCTTTGTTGTTGTTTTGTGAGCCTACAGCAATCTTGGCCAAGGAAAAGAATGTTCTGTTATCATGAGTTCTTACCCATTAATCTTGCATGCAGTGTTTACAGGCTGCAAAGCCTTATCAACCAGCTGCTTTGGTTTCAGCCCATTGTAAAGGCATATTAAATGCATGTTATATGGTGACCCCTGCAAACTTGATGAGTACAGATTAGATTGCATTTCAAGCTTTATTAGAGTTTCTGTGCTGTTTAACAGCTGCAACTAAGTAATGGGGTGGGGAGACAGAGACTTATAGGTGAGAATAGTTCCTTATCCCACAAAAAAAAATCCTGCCTTGCTGCTTTTTTTCTGGAAGAGCAACTCATAGCTCGCTGGAGCAGGGACTTAGGATCTCTTTCCACGACTCATGTGAGTGCTGTAACCTGGTAAACTACTGGCTGTTCTAGGGAGAAGGGAGCAGCAAGAGGCATGTTGTTGGAAATGTTTAATATTCTTTCTGGCTTCAACATCAGTACTATCCTGGAGCTGGGAAATGTTTCATGACAAAAGCTTCATCAAAACTGCAGCGTGATTACAAAAGGTTTCAGGTTTGAGAAATCTGGCTTTTTCCAAAGAGAGGGGATGTTGTCAGGAAAAATTTCAGCACACTTGACTGTCATCTACTACTTGGCACATCGTATTGTTTTAGGAGGTGTGTGTTTTTAAGTCTGGTGTTTCTGCCTTAAATTATAAGCAGGCCTTCTTTTAATACATGGTTATTACCCGATTATTTTTTTTATTATGTTTTGACATGATATCATAGTTTATGAGAAACACCTTTGTTCAGTTTAAGTTGCCTCTGTGATAGTAACCTATTTGCCTGTTTTTTTTCATCCTCTCTCCTGATGAATTGTTTTTCTGCTAGAACTGGTCAAGGAATGACATTAGATGCTAGCTGTTGTTACCTGTTAGCCTGAAAAACATGGTGACGATTTTGTGCTGTAAAAATGTTAAATGATGTTAACCTGTTAACCTTAGAGAGCAGAACTTAAAGTCACAGCAATGAACTTCGGGTTATATGAAAAAAAATGTCCTGTTATGGCAATAGCAAGGACTGCCCTGGCAGTCATCTTGACTGTGCTGCTGCTTATTCATTGATCTGGAAATGAGTCAAGGTATAGTTTGTCAGTATTCCATTCCTAGCCCAAATACTTCCTGATACTTGAACAAGCTCTCAGTCAAGATGATGGGAATTTTTCTAGTGACTTACGTGCCAGTTTGAATGTTTCTACAATGCTTTATTTAAGGATCTGTCACAGTGGTTGTACTAAAATGCCACCACTTCTTCCCTCACTGTCTCCAGTTCACTCAACCATTCATTCTGTCACGGCTTCTGCATCTTGCACTATTTTGCCTTCTCTTATTTCACCGCACCTGCTTGCAGATTAAATTTTTCTTAAGATAATGTGTGTGTAGTGGAAACATAAAGTTTGAGTACATTGAACTTCGTGGTGTGTTAGCACTGGGTTGTTGCGTGGGTCATGAAACCAAGCAAAAGGAAGACACGACATGCAATGTACTAGGTCTGCGACGCAAACAGGTAGTAGGCTGGTATCAAGAAACTCATTATATTCCTAGAATTGTTGTTTAATTTAATATGATTTGGATTTCTTTCTTAAACAAAACCCCAGCTATCTCAAGTAGAACAAAAAGATGAAAAAATTATGCTCCTGTCTTAGATTTAGTTATATGACTTGGATTAAATTGGGCATCTTGTGTGTATTAATGGTGCTCTTTTATGCATGGGTGTTCAATAGCAAGATCAACTATTTTGAAATGTTGGGTTCATGAGATTAAATCACTGCTGTGAATGAATGATGCACAGGTGGTGACATAATCCTGAAGTCAGATAACTATGGTGGAACTAAGGCTGTATATTAATAACACATGAGGGCTTTATCTACAGTTGTCTTTCCTGGAAAGGAGTTTTAAAAATAATGTAATTGTGGAATGCTAGACATCTTCTGAAGTAGCTGATGGCAGAAAACCAGCTGAAAGGCCCAAGACAATAATGTGTGTTTCTAAAAGGAACTGTTCTTTACAGCGTGACGTTAGCAGGTGTAAGAAATAGGAGCTTGGTGGTTGCTGTTGTTTAAACCGTTAAAGCAGGAAAAATTGGCATTTTTGGAGCAGTAGCTATTTCTGTCAGGTGTACTCAATGATATGTTAATATGTTTTTAAAATACTAAATGATGAAAAGGGACTAAAAATGGTACATTTTGGCATAGGATTTGCTCCTTATTGATGACAAATCATATTTGTTCTGCTAATAATGTTTATAAGCATCTCACGCACTTGATGTTAAATCTGAAAGTAGAGGTAGGTTCTTAATCATATGTATGGTCACGAGTGGAGTGAAAGGAAGGTGATAAAATGCCCTTAATTTTATCGATGGGACCCTTTCTTTGCACAAGACAGGCTGTGGAGAGGGTTGGTCCTGTTGCTGGAACCTAGTCACTGGTTTTGCTGGTGATTGGCCTTCCTTTGCTGTAGCAGCACTGACTGCATTTCTGAGGGCTGTGTAGTATTAATATTTTTGATGCAGTAAACAATTATGGTGGCATGGACAGAGGGAGCAGGTCTGACTGCTAAAGTATTGCATTCATTCTCTGTAAGAGAGGAGACGTTCGCAGCTTTAGAGCATACGGTTTTTGTGGCTGGTTAACGACACCATAGTTAATGCTGTCTCGGGGGTTTGATCTTATTGATCTTTTTATGAGACTTACAGTAACATGTTCCTTTAACCTCAGCTCACCTGTGCCTCATCCATTTATAGTTCAGTAATTAAGCCATATTTTGAAAAAACAAACAAACCTAAATTACTTTCTTATCCATTGTTGAAGCCTTGACAGCAACACACGTTTAATTCAGCCATACCTTTTGATTGTAGGGGGAAGAGTAAAAACGTGGAAACGGAGATGGTTTATTCTGACTGATAATTGCCTGTATTACTTTGAATACACAACAGTGAGTATATATTACAGTGAACTTCATTTGTAATCAAGGTGTTTAAGTGGCTAATAATGTGGTATTTTCCTAATTTTTCAGGACAAAGAACCTAGAGGAATTATTCCGTTAGAAAATCTTAGCATAAGAGAAGTTGAAGACCCTAGAAAACCAGTAAGATATTTTCACAATATCTTTTTTAATGAAGATAAGTAAACCATATAGAACTTAAACGTAGTGTTCAATGACGATGTTTGTCAGTTTTGTTTTGTCTTTTAAATTTATTTCTTCATTTCTACCCTCTAGAACTGCTTTGAGCTCTATAACCCCAGTCATAAAGGTCAAGTAATTAAAGCATGTAAAACTGAAGCTGATGGTAGAGTGGTGGAAGGCAACCATGTAGTGTACAGAATATCTGCTCCCACCCCAGAAGAAAAGGAAGAGTGGATTAAATCTATCAAGTGAGTTTAAAGTCTTAAATGTCTTTCAGAAATGAAGTGTAAGCTCTTTTCGGAGTAAGATACTAAGAGAATTTGTATTCTAACTTGTTTAAAGAATTCTGATGCGGCAATGTCCTCTAAGATTAATGACAAACTACGTGGGGTTGATGGATCAAGATGCAAGTCTCCTGTTACTCTCTGGTCCTAAGGAAATAGTGCTACTAACACAAATGAGGAAAATGTGGATTAAAAAAAAATTTTTTTTTTTTAAGAAAATGTAAAGCCTTGTGTGAATTGCCTTTAACCCTAATTTTATTAGATTCTTACTTCACCTAATAATTAGCTTTAGTGACATGTATCTTAAGCATGTTCACAGTGCCGTTTTAAACTTTCACAGCTTGACTTTATCTTGGAATTTTATAAAACAGACCCACACTTAAAGAAATAAATAATGGTCAAGATGAAGGTATGAAGTCTTAACAGATCACAACTGAATAACTTCTTTTTCTAAAGAAATATTTGTGATGCTTGGAAGTCAGCCATCCATTATCTTAAGAGCATGGATTCATCCACTGGGAAGATAGAACAAAATAGTTTTAGTTTTCAAAAACAGATATTTGATAACCAAACTGATGATTCCTTTTTCCTCTTCTAGAGCAAGTATCAGCAGGGATCCCTTTTATGATATGCTGGCAACAAGGAAACGAAGAATTGCAAATAAGAAATAGAACATGATCAGCAACTTGTATACCTGCATCAACCTATAAATGAGCATACAGTTGAGTGATAATGTAAAAATTGGACAAAGTAAATGAAGACAATAACTGTAGCTTTTATATATATACACTTTACTATGGCATAAAAACTTGGCAAGACCTTTCAGGGTAAATAGTTTTTGGCATATAATTTGAAGTAAGCTTCAAATCCCAGAGGGTGATTATATTGGAACTTAATTCAACTGAAAACATGGAAGCCTTGTTTTCACTTATATTAGTTATGACTCCAGTTTACTTGGGTTGGGAGGGAAGGAAGTCGAGGCTAATAGTAAAATGTCCTTTACCTGTTATTTGAGCACATTTCCCATGAAAGGAGGAGTGATTATAAGACTTTGATCTCTCACTAAAATGCAGCACCAAAAGTGGAGTACAGCATGACCTAGCACTTAGTTTTTCTGTAAGCAGAAAACCACAATCTCAGTATCAGTTTTCAAGTCTTGTGTTTCACAGTAAATGAACAGCTGAGTGCAGCTTTCATTTAGGATTTGCTCTCCTACCTTTATGGAAATAGCTTTTCTTCTTCTTCAGAAATGCAACTCAGTGGTAGGCTGGCAGCTATGTAGTTAACTAGTTGTGCCAAAGGATTTGGTTGATATGCACTGAAATATATGCAGGTCCCAACAGCAAAGGTTTGAGTCTGTAGACATGACGCTAATTACAGATGTGGTTTGATTATTTGCCAGTAGGCTAAAACTCATTCCTGTCTGCTCATACACTCTCAATAAGCAGTAGGATTTAATGACTGGTTTAATCTGCTTTTTATATAGTAAAATCCTTCTTATGTTTTAGATATGTTGTAGTTTAATTAACCCTAAGTTACTACTAAAGGAGTAAGATGACAGGGCTTGCATGAGTTTAGGCTTTGCATGTGAAAACACCCCCAAATAATTTCGCATGCATTTAATGTGTTTAAAGGGAAAAACCAGGAAGGTGAAATCTTTCTCTAAGATACAGCCCTAGATGGTTAAGCAAGCAGGAATCATTCCTTTGCTTGATAACAAACTTTGGACATACAGAAAAGTTCAGTATTTTTATTACATTCTTAAAGGCGATTTTTCAGATCTGTGCTTCAGCAGTTGAAATTGAAAAAATGAATAGACATGCTTATTTTTGCTTAAAAATTAAGATCTTACACATTGATTACCTAGTGCAACTAAACTCCCCCACAAGCATGTCTCTTTTTTCTTTTCTGTCCCCCCCCCCCCCCCCTCTTG